GCAGTTAGTTATACAAATTCAAACATCGAGCTTTAATAAGTTGTACGTATGCATAATTTACTTGTAATATTGAATTTTAAGTAATATGCATCAATATACAGTATTTCATGCATAAAAAAATGGTTTTTAAGAGTTTTTTGTCAAATGATTTATAATATAGTATATATATAAATATTAATACAATATAATAATCTATAAATTTTGGGTTATGTTTTATATTGAGGAATTACGATGTTTTGGCCTCAATTTACAAGAAAATTGTGACACCGAGCTTTTTTCAAACTCTATATTATTCAAACCCCTCACACCCAACGCCATTGCTCCCTCTCCCTTGCCATCCACCATCGCTAACTCTTTGTCATCGTCTATCACTATCGTTGGCCCTTGCCAATCGATATGCCTCTTTTTGATTGTTTTTTTTAATTTCACTTATTGTTGATTTGTCGATATGTATTTTATTAAATTGTCGTAAAAAGAGAGAATCAAACAAATAGATCAAAAAGAGGAGATCGATGGCAGGGGTTAAAGGCAGCGAAGGGTGGTACGGAGAACGGGAGATGATGGTGGCAGCAAAGAGCGGTGAGGAGGGGCGATTTCGTTAGGATGCAAGAGGTTTAAATGGCGTAGGGCATGAGAATAATAAAACTGATTTAACTTTTTTTTTCTTACTTCGAAATCTTTTAAGTAAATTAAATGTAGTTTTTTTGGATTAAAATAAAAAAATTATTCTTTACAAAAATCTATTAAACAAATTAAAAATGATTATGAAAATACTTCAATTATTTTTTATTAATTAATTATTATAAAACAAATATTTTTAATATATTTTAAAACCTCATTATAAATAAAATCTAATTTTAAATCCCATTATCTCACAAAGCAAAGCAACGTAATACGATTGACAGAAATTGAAACATAAAAGGGCTGCCAACGAAATTAAACCGATTCAGATCTTGAGGTTATCCGAATGCATCTATCCGTCATTTCTTGAAAGGCGTGAAAATACACTCCGTTTTAATTTAAAAAATTACACCAAAATGGAATCAATTTTCACTTGATTCATATTTTGAGGCTTTCAAAATTATTATTTAAAGAATTCTATCAAATTTTTTGTTTATTTAAGGGTCTGGTTGACATGTTGACCTATTAATGCGAACATCATCCATATTTATTTTTTGACCGGCAAAGAAAAGCGAAATATTATAAAAAGACTAGCAAGGCGCTAGCAAAGAGAGAGTACAGGCAAAAAACAAGACATGGGGGAGTTACACCACTCTATCCAACTATTCAACAAAAGGCCTTTCCGAACCTTATTTTTAAACCAGAAAAAAGAATACGCCTGAAGCTGGCCAGCGAGAAGAGTAGTCGAATTCATAGAGGAAGCTCGGAAAGTTTTACGGTTGCGCAAGTTCCAGATAATCCAGAAGAACCAGTACACCACTCCGAGAAACGCCTTTTTACACATGGAATTCCCAGCCACTTCCGAGCTACGGTCCAGAAGATTGTCAATCGAGTTCACCTGTCCTATATCCACTTTCCATCATGTGCACAGGTCCTTGAGCAACTTCCGTGATATCTAGCATCCTATGAACAAGTGTTCCTCATCTTATTCGATACAATCACACAAAGGGCACAAAGAGGAGAGGCAAACCATACCTCTTTTTAAGAGATTATTTTTAGTCGGAAGCCGTTTGTGAAGCAGACGCCAAGCTAAAATGTTGATTTTTGCGGGAACCCAATTGACCCACCAAGAGGTTCGGAAGCTAACCTGATCTAACGAATGGTCATCGTAAGCGGCTCTCGTCGAGGAGACCGAGAAGGTGCCGTGAGGATCCAGATCCCATCGCCATGAAAAGTCGATCCCATTTGGCCTTTGTTCTCTTAGGAACCAGTCCGCAAAAGGAAGGTTGAGTTTATGGAATTCCTTGTGGATTTTTATGATGTTCCTCCATAATCCCTGGAATCTGCCACATCTGGCCAGGTTATTCAGACCCCCATCCTCTCCGTGTAGAGCAGCGATAACCCGTCGCGAAATGTGATTATGCTCAGATTTAAATCGCCACCACCATCTTGCAAGAAGCGCTAGATTGAGAGCTTTTAGACTACCAATCCCCAGACCGCCATCATCTTTATTCGCCATCGTGGTACTCCAACGGATCCATGAGATCTTTCTCACACCTCCTTTATCACCCCAGAAGAACCTCGAGCGAATTGATTCAAGTTTGTTGATGATCGAAATAGGGGCCTTGAGGAGCGAGAGGAAATGCAGTCCCAGGCTTCCTAAAACATATTTGATCATGACAAGACGACCACCATGAGAAAGGATTTTGGATTTCCAGGCTGATAGTTTTTTGTTAAAATTTTCAACCAGAGGCTTCCAAGATTCAGCTTTATTGGAGCGACCACCGATCGGCAAACCGAGGTATGTAAAGGGCAAAGTTCCTGGTCTGCAATGCAATCTACTAGCAACTGAAACTACTTCCTCATAGTCAGACCCCACGCCCATTATATTACTTTTCTGCATATTCACCTTCAGTCCCGAAGACAGTTGGAAGCATCGCTACAACCGAACCAAATTAGTAGCATTAGATCTCTACCATTCACCCATGATCAAGACATCATCGGCAAATTGCAATATCAATAATTCAGGCCTGGAGTTAGGAAGTTTGATACCTCTGAAGATACCATTCCGAGTGGCTTCCGACATAATGATATTGAGAATTTCTGCAGCAAGTATGAAAAGGAGAGGGGCCAGGGGATCTCCTTGCCTTACCTCCCTTCTTAGAGGGAATTCTTGAGTCGGGGATCCATTGATGAGAACCGCTACCGATGCCGAACTGAGGCATCCTTTGATCCATGCCCTCCATTTCGCGCCAAACCGCATTCCCCTTAGAACATCCTCCAGAAAATCCCAAGACAAGGTATCAAAGGCTTTTTCGAAGTCAATTTTAAAAATCAAGAATTTGCGATTATATTTTTTTGCCCAAGATATTATCTCGCTGACGATAATGGGTCCATCTAGAATACTCCTTCCCTTGATGAAGGCCGATTGTTCGTGCCCGACAACCGAATCAATGGCCATGCTCAATCGAGATGCCAAAATCTTAGCAATAATCTTATAAAAACAATTTATCAAGCTGATGGGCCGGTACTCCGAAAAGGAGCATGGAGATTCAGATTTGGGTATAAGCATGATGAAGGAGGCGTTACATCCGTCGTCTATGGAGGCAGTGGACTCAAAAAATTTGACGGCGCGAAATAAGTCATCCTTGATGACATCCCACTGTGATCGAATGAACGCAAAAGAGAATCCATCAGGCCCAGGAGCCTTGTCTGTTCCACATTCCCAAATGGCTTTCTTGACTTCCTTGGGAAATGTTTGATTCAAGAGAGCTTGCCTGTTCCGGAGAAAGATGTTTAAAATTATTGCACAAGAAAGGGGTCGAATGACAGACCTGGATCGAAAT